TTGACAAGTGCATATCATGCCTATTAGGCACAATGACCAAATCTCCTTTTATTTGAAAGGGAGAAATGTCTGTATAAATATTTGCATAATACATAGGGATGTATGTGGACCTATGTCAATTAATGTTAGATGATGTTTCTTTTATGTTATCAATTATCATGTATATTTGATGAAATTCAAGCATGAAGTCCTTGAAAGGTTCAAAGGATTCAAGATAGAAGTAGAGAAACAAATAGGGAAGGATACCCTCACATTAAGATCTGATCGAAGTGAGAGTATCTTAAAAATAAAATAAAATATAGATTATCTAAGAGAGAATGAGATTCTCTTGCAGTAGACTCTTTTATATACACTGCAGCATAGTGGTGTATTTAAAAAGAGGAATCGTTAATTATTGGATATAATGCGATTAATAACAAGCCATGTAAATCTCTCAAAATTGTTTTAGGGTCATGCATTGACTGCAATGTGCAACATACTAAATCATGTCCCATCTAAATTGGTTAACAGAACTCCATACGAGTTATGGAAAGGCAATAATTCCAATTTATCTTATATGAAAGTTTGGGGCCATGACGCTTATTTGAAGCGCCTTGAATCGGATAAGTTTAACACTAAATCTGATAAATACGTATTTGTGGGGATATTTAAAGCAGACATTTGAGTATAAGTTCTATTATCATAAAGAAAGTCTTCGTCTCACGACATATCGTCTTCTTAGAGAAAATATTTACTCTAGGGGAGGACAGTGGGAGTAAAATAGAACTTGAAAGAGTTCAACAGTCCACATATATAGTTAACCAAGTAGATAAATCCGAGTTTGACCCCATATCTGATATGGGACATACTCTTGATCAGGAAGTAAAGATTCCTGAGGACATGTCAACTCTATGTGAATCTAATATGATCATTTGACCTTCAAGAAAGTGTGAATCCATTATTACTAATCAGGTATTACTGATCCAGGATAATGAACCTGCGAGCTGCACCAAAATAAAGTCAAGTGTTGACTTAAAAGAGACAGCAAGAGGCTATGAAACTTGAGATGAACTTGACGTATATGAACAAAGTTTGGACCTTGGTCAAACCTCCTGATGGAATAAAACTCATAAGTTTTTGTAAATAGTTTACAAGGAAAAGGTCGATATAGATGGGAATATCCATATATACAAAGCAAGGCTAAAAACAAAGGTTAAGTGTTGACCGTGGTGAAACCTTTCTTCTGTAGCCTTGTTGAAGTCCATTCGGGTTTTGCTTGCAATAGTTGTATACCATGACTATAGGTTAAGAGAAGTCTCTTGGAGTTGAAATTTTCGATTTGATGAAAAAGTCAAAGTGTTTGATTTTATCAAATTTGAAGACGAATTATGTGTTTACAAAAAGATAATGGGAGCATTGTCGTATTCCTAATATTATAGAAAACGACATCCCTATGTTTCAATCGTTGAAATAATGGTTGTTAAAAGATTTATTCATGAACAATATGAGAGAAGCAACTTGATCTATAGAGATAGATCTAGAAAGTTGCCTAACTCATCCCAATTTTCATAGATGAAATCTTGAGAAGATTTCATATGGAGAAACTGGTTTACTCTTAAGCAGAATGTTGGAAAGGTTTCAAACGTGAAGCAACTGTTGATTCAATAGTAGAAACCTAATACATGATTATTTCAGAAGTAACAAAGAGTTGCAATATAGATCATGATGTTCATAAATGAACTTGGAGTAGTTTCTGATATTGTCGATCACATGCCATTGTATTGTGATAACAATAGAGCCATCGCGAAGCGAAGGAACTAAGGTCTCATCAATTATCCAAACATATATTAAAGTGGTATAATCTCATCAGAGAGATAATACATAGAAATGACGTAAAGAGAAGAACAAATTCCCACATTTAACAATATTGCAGATCTACTGACAAAGAGTTGTCGTAGCATAAATATGATCGTCATGTAAACTCTTATGATATTGGATACATAAGTGATTGGATCTAGTGCAAGTGAGAGTTTGTAAGTGTTATGTCCTAGGTCCAATCAACCTTGGACATAAATACTTTTGATATATAATTAATGCAATTTAATGGTAGATCTATTATTTAATTTATAGACAATTAAATTAAATAATATAGTCCGTAGATTGAAATCTTCATAATTTCTTAATCACAAGGAGTTGTGATTGTGAGATACAAATTACATATGATTGAATTTTAAATCTTCTGTGTTCGTAAGTAATAACGAGATACGGATATCGTTATTACGGATAGACCATCACGTGTGTCATTTCTTACTTGCGAAGTAAGTAGATGGTCTCACAAGCTAAAGTATGGTGACACTTAAATGAATACGTAGATGTTTTGTTATAGAACAAAACATTGGAGACCCGCCGAGAGATTCCACATAGATAACTATCTAAGTGTCAGTGATTAATCTCTAACGTTCGGTAGTGAGATTGGTTATTTTGACTTGAGGTCGTCATAGTACATTATATGAAGACGGTCATGCTTTGACGGTGTCGGATGTTGCTCTGTCGGGGGCCGCTAATACGATATCGTTCAGGTATGTCAAGAATCATATGAAGGTTGTGAATGACCAATAGAGGATTCGTCACTCTTAGATAGTAAGAGATTATGATCTGCGTTTCATTCAATTAAGTCGATAATGAAATTCTTGGTCAAGGTTTACTCATAAGTCGAGAAGGAGTTTCGACTTATATTGACTTAATAGTGGAGTGAAAGATATGATCGATAATCGAGAGTGATACACTTCCATATCTTGTAATTGATCGGATCATATTGACGAATGGATTATAGTCTCACGGTAAACGAACGAGTTTGGTATTGTCATACCACGTGACATTTCCCCGTCACATGTATTACCCTGACACATTGCTAGATATCAATTTGGGACGGAGAGTGTGATTGGTGATAAATTAAAAGGGCATTTTAATTTATCAATTTTGATTAGATCAAAATAATATTTCATGTCGTTACGTATCGTGATCGGGAACTTGATGGGTCGCACACAAAAAGAGAACTGGAAGATTGTGATTTGTCAATTAATTAATTTAACAAGTGTTGGATAAATTAATTAATTGGATTGCTTATTTATAGGCTTGAATTGATTAATTTGATTAATTAATTCACAAACTGGATTTAATTAAATGAATTAATTAAATGTTGGACTGGGTTAGGCCAAGCCCGTTCGGACTTATATAAATATGATTAGGGTTTGCAAAATTGTAGAAATTTTTCATTATTCTTGCAAGGACAAGAAGAAATCCATAATCCTGCAATTTTGTTCTCTGTGTGGATCACCGTTGGAGGTTGGACAATTATGGGAGACAGATCCAAGTTGCTAGAACAGAGATATGGCAAAGAAGTTTGCAGATCATGAAAAGGTATTACTTTTATCACAGTTTCTATCTAAACACAAAGATGAATCCTGATGGGAATCGAAAATTATTTTAATTTTCGGTACGCATGTTAAGTAGATTCCCAACAGTAATGACTTATGGTTGGGCATGGCTTTGATGGTAGGCTAAATCCATTGTAAACAATCCAATCGCATTGGTTCATTTCATTTTGGTTGCTGGAATATTATTCCCCTCCTTCCATATTAGTCACTGAAACTTTTATTTTTATTAAAGTTTAGTTCCTTCATTTTATCCCCTCCATATTTGTTCACTTTGGTTGCAATTGCCCTGTGAGTCTTTATATATTGTGATGATTTATAGTGATGAAGGTGCATGATAGAGATGGAGTTAAACAAGGGGCTGGCTGGTTATTTCTTTTTCCTAGGTCTGTAGTTCCAGCCACACAAGAAATAATGTAGAAATGCTGAGGGAAATAATGTAGAATTGGCATTGAATTGTATGAATAAGTGGACTACATTTATCAGAAATATTTTCATTTGTTCTTCTCTAAAGCATTTTTACACAACTTAACAAGAACGCACTAAACTTTGATCATTGTGTCTGCAGAATTCATCCCAACAAATCTTAGAACAAAAATTTCCACCACCACACACATCCACAATTCACGCTTATACTGATCTATCTTTTACCTTGGTTGAGACATATTCAACAAGATGACTAAGTGGAGAGGAAGGGGGTAAATTCACTGAGGTCAATGCTTACTAAACTAAGGAGATGTCCTCTCATTGTATGGTAGTTTATACCTTGAAAGCCTATGGATGCTGGCCATTCTTGACAAATCAAGCAAATGAAAACAGTTATGGTCCGTTTGATTGCAAAGGTAGAATTTGGGTGGAAAGAAAACAAATTCCAGGGAATTGAATTGATGGGAAATTATTTTTCTGAGAATTATAAATCATTGTGTTTGATTGGCATAATTTTCCACGTGGAAAATGTTGAAATAAAAGTATTTTTTTTGTTTTCGTTTGACTTTGTTTTACATAAAATTGTCAATTAAATGTACAGAATTTACTGATATTGGGGATGAAATTTGTTTCTATTGCAAAAATATGAAAAAATTAAAAATTCAAGAAAATCATCTATATTTTGATGTTCGTTTGTCTTTGTTTTATATGAAAATTGTCAATTCAAGGGAAATATTTTCTTACAGTTAGAGATATAATTTGTTTCCAAAAAATAAATAAATAAATAAAATCGTCAACATTGCCTGGAAGATCATTTCCCACACCCACAAAAGTTGGAAATTGTCTACGTGGCTGGAAAAATGGAGAAAACCAATTCCCTAGAAAATAATGGTATCAAACATGCAAAAAATGGAACTTGGAATTGGAATTCCTAGTTCCATCGAAAATTTTGCTTCATCAAACACTGCATTACTGTAAAAGTGCAATTGTGTCACCATTTAGTTTTTCAGGACAATGAACATAATAATTCATAAATTGAAGCAAAGATTATATTCCCTCGAATTATAATCAGTGTAACATCTTTTTACACTTTTTGCCCTTTAATATCTCTCCTACAAAGCTAGTAACTCTTTCCAGCAATATTTACAAGTAACAATGACATTCGAAATAAGAGTTAAAACATAGCATTTCATAAATTAGTAGAATTTACAAACATAGTTTACAGGCCTTCGCTCAACATAGTTCGACCTCATACAAAAGATTATGCAATAACTACTACTTCTACTGACAGCTACTATTCAGGTCGGCCCCTTCCCTTCAAAATTCACTTCGATGATTCCTTGCACACCTTCGCGTTCACCGTAATATGTAGATCTTCTTCCGCAGAGATACGAACTTGAGATTGAAACATATGTAATATATGTTCAGATGTTTCATTCGTCACAAAGTTAATCGAGGAAGCACTAGCTCTAGACGATTGGCTGGTTGAATCTTCTTTGACAACTGCCCATTCTGCGACGCGAGAAAATCACAGAGCATCAACTCAGATAGAAAACACTGTTGTTCGAACAATAATTAAAATAAAGCAAATCATTTGCCAAACATTTTATATCATAATGTCAATACATTTACTTTGTGGAAAAATATTATTATACCAATAAAAAAATCATACTAAAGACCTGTACATAGCAAGTATTTCAATTTAAAAATGAAATAAAATAATGTTTTTAGCTTCAGAAGTTTAGATGCCAAGGCGTATTGACTCTAGTAGCTTGAATACAAATATGTTGTGAATGCAATTTGTTGGCAACCAATACTATGCATCAATAAGAAATTTATAAGTATTCCAACCACAATTTCTGATGATCCTAGTGGTACAGCAGCAAATTTTAATAGTGAGGCAGGTTCCAAACTTTAATGGAAAGAACTAACCATGATACTGGAATAGCCAATTTTGGTGTTTTGCTTGAGAGTTGGCAAGCACTGGCATGCTGGAAAATTGTATAGCCAAATTATTGAACACACAATCATCACTTTCTTTAGCTTGTCTTAAAAGTGCCTCATATTTAGCATTATGGCATCTCTGATTGTAAATTAGACCCGTCAATTGATGCAAGAAAACTATCTTAAATAAGGTGCAAGTTTCTCATACAATAACTTAACTATTGAATTTATATTTTTGCGAAGAGCACGGATGGTGGGGAGATTCAAAGGAGCAGCTAAATGACAGGATTAAAAATGAAAAAGTGGTGAGTGATACACAGCATAAGGACCTGAATACTAAAGATAACGGGAAATGTAACCACACCGGGGAGCATGATGGGTACTTCATTCATTGAGACGGGAAATGTAAACATGATAATCAAATTACACAGATCCACAATAATGAAGCAAAAATCCAAAATCGTGTGCAAAGAAATTTGACTGCTACCCATTTAAATGTGGTCTTCAACATCTAATATATCAAAGATAAAAATAACAGAGCTCCAATAAAATCTTCAATTCAACAGAAAATAAAGAAAAAATCACAGGTTATACACTTACTAGACAGGACTAAGATGATCTCGAAAGGGATTTGTGGACTCCGTAAAGATGAGCACCGAGTGCGCTTGAGCTCGCTTGTGGTCGGAGTACTTCAAGCATGTGCTAGCCGGAGGTTGCTTTCTCCCTTCTGGGACTCGAAATGGGTGGAGATGGAAGTTAAAAATTTTGGAGAAAATGAGTGGAAATGGAGATTTCAATTTAGCCGGCTGGAGGAAATTTTCTCCATTTCATTGAGATTTCAATTGAGCCGGCTGGAAATTTTCAGGCCTTTCTTTTCTATACTTTGGGGGGGGGGGGGGGGGGGGGAGTGGGAGAGAGAGAGCAGCCTTTGTTTTATCAATTATAGAAAAAAAGGTCGAAACTCAAACTTTAAGGGTCCTCCATCGCTCCTACTCTGAAGCATCGTGAGGAAGGTAAATCGCAGGTTATGCCTCCAAGGATACAGGATAAAAGGCTGCTTGTACACTTGCACTTACCCAAGAGTCAAATTCATATTTCACTTTCGAACTCCTGAATTATTTTTCTCAAAAAGGGTGAACAACACACTGTTGACAGGGATTTGAATAATCCAACATGTGCAAGGCAATTTTTGGAGGGAAAAATTATGCAACAGTCCAACACGAGAGAGAGAATGAGCTGCTATAATTTATTTACCCAATTTCCAAATTTATTTATGCACAGGAAGGAAGATGACTTTTACATGCGGAGACTAAAACCATAAGTACATTTATTTATGCACAGGAAGGAAGATGACTTTAATACGCAGCTTTTTCCCCAAACTGAAGCAATTAATCTTCTTCCGATTTTCAACATTAGGTACAGAGTCGAATGTTCACTATGTTCCCAATCATTGTCCACAATCTTATTATTTCACTATCATATACTCAATTTCATGAGCTTTCAGCAAGAACTATATTAATTCTTTCAGTTTAAGAACTTCTACCCAGTTAGTGAATCAAATAGTTCTATGTGAAATTTTCTTTAAATCTTCCAATCACCGAACTATCATTTAATTGACAGTCAATATGTCTAAGTGAGAATCTCACTATTCTACTTACCTTAGCATTCATAACAATTCACGAATAAATAGATAACATGCAATTCATTAAGGAAATTTCATAATGTACAATTAAAAATAAACATGAACGTTTATCCAATTATTACATATACTGTAATATAAAAATTAATTGTTCCAAAAATAATTCCAATTATAATCGAAGAATAAAACTTACATCATTTAAGTTTTATTATACAGATTCTCAATCTTACTTTAATATCTGTTGCAACACGATCTTAACAAATGGAAAGTGACATAAAAAATCTCATATTCTACTTATCACAAAAAATTTTCAAAAATATTCACGTATTCTACTAGGTTATCTTCCATATTCGTTTATTAATTTTAATAAGTACGTAGGTTTTTAACAAGTTCCATATTCTTTACTTTTCAAACATCCCTCTGAGGATGCTATAAGTGTGCATGGATCCAACCATATTTAATCAAGCACAAAAATAGAAACAAGTCACAAAAGATCACATAACATAATCAAAGGCTCATACAACTCATGAACAAATATAAAAATGTGCTTTTTAAATACTTTCGGAGTATGTTTCAATTTCAAAAAATAAAAATAAAAATGAGAGTATTTCAAAAAATAATCCCTACTAGCCAAATACCATGTAATAAATATTCTTGAGTTTATAAAAAAATTTAAAATTTAATCAAGTTAAAAAAAAAAATTGACTATCTAAAAATTATTTTAATTATACTGAAAAATTAAAATAATTCAAGGACCAATCTGAAATTTTTAGAATTGAAATTGGGCCCTGTAGGCGCCCCTATATGTGAAACCAATCTGCAATTATTTTTTAAAATTAATAAAAAAAATGAGGAGGCGTGTCAACTCCTTCACATCGTCTCCGAATTTTTTTTCCATGGGTCATCTTGACTAATTTCGATGGTCTGAGTTCATTTGTGTAGTCAAATTTAAAAAAATAATCAATTTTTAAGGCCGTGTTTGGGACATTAACACATCCGTCCGACAGTCAAAATGGCAAAAAGATCATGTAAAATCTCCAGATTTTCGATCAAACTTCGAGATGTCATAACTTCTTTATTTCAAAGTCAAAGTTAATGATCTTTATGTTGTTAGAAAGGTCTCGTGAAGATCAATCTTACTAATATCAAGTGGGAAGCATGACATGAAGTGTAGAAGAAAGTATCATGTGATGAAATTGTAAATTTTACCAATTTTCATACAAAAAATCAAAATTTCATCCAAATTTTGGGAGAGTATAACTTTTGCATTTCAAGTCCAAATTTAATGCTTCTTATACCTTTAAAAAGATCTCGAGAAGATCTATCCAACCATACTAAATGAGAAGCATGACATGATGTGTAGAAGAAGTTATCATGTGAAAAAATTTCGAATTTTACAAATTTTCATACGAAAATTTAGATTTTCGTCCAAATTTCAAAACCTCATAATTTCTTTGTTTTAATTCCAAAATGTTAAGTTCTTTCTATTGTTGAAAAGCTCGTGGAAATATTTTTCTAACCATATTAATCCTATTACATAATTATCAATGTAAACAAGCAGTAAATTATCAAAAGATGCCATAAAACAACATCAAGTTTGAAAACATTACATACAAAACTCATAACTCAATTTAATCATGTAATGTCATATTTAAGCATGAAATATTACAAGGAATTCAACTTTAAGGTCCTAATACCAATGTAATAATTCATAGCATACTTGAACATAAATTTCGGGTCAACACGTTCACTTGAAATGATGAATTTCAAAATCTTTTAAATAAAATGACTGATAAATGTATTTTCTACACTTATTCGGGGCTCTAAACTATATAATTTTATTGTTCTTTTGGAAAAATATGATCTAAATTTTATTGTATTAATTTTCTTAGGTAAAACTCGTGCTTGGACGAGGAAGGAAAGGAAAGAAGCAAAAATTGGCGAAAAGTGACAAAATCCAAAACACGGGGATTAAATTGGCCATTGATGAAAGTTGGAGGTCAAGGCATACAAGTCAAAAAGTGGAGGATTTGAGATGCAATTATTGAGGGACTTGGCTGCAAATGACACAAAATCCATTTATTTGGCGGCCAATTACAGTGAATTGGGCGCTTGTGGGCCATTTTAATTATTGGGGGTCATTTTAAATGCTTCTCCAAACTTCAGGGACCAAAGCTGAAAATTTTCCTAGGTTTTACTATTAAAAACCATGCAGATCAGTTTTCATGGGAGGAGAGAACCAGAACAGCCGGCGGAGAGAAAGAGAAGAGGAAGGGGACGGCTGCCAAAGAGAAGAGGGGAGACCAATTGGAATTCCACCTCAAATAGAGGACTAATTAGGCGGTTGAAAGAGAAAGATATTATACATACAAGTTGCTGAAAGTGGGCAGAAAAACAAGGGCAGAGTTGCTGGAAAGAAAGCAAAGAAAAAGATTGGAGGCACGAGTAGAGAGAAGAGAATTAGTTTGAAAAAAATTTGGGTGGCTGCTTGTGAGTTCACCAGGGGTTGAAGGAGTTTTTTTTCTACAAACAAAAAGAGGCTGCCGACCTACTGGAATTATACACGCCAACTGGATTAAAAGTGCTGCTGGGTTAAATATACATATACACATCAGACTACGAACAGGGAGGAAATTAGTGGCTGAACTGATTTCACTTACATAGTTGCTTGAGGGTTGAAATATATGTATAGACACACACGATAGAGAAATTGGAGGGCTGGAATTTGGAGGAAACATTGGGACTTGTTGCTCATTTTTATATAAATATACATATAATATATAATCTTGAGCTGTTGGAAGGAAAGCTTTTTGTAAAAGAAGAGAAGTGGACGGCTGCCTTGGAAAAATCAACAAACACGTGCAAAAGTCGAGCAAATTCGTGGAGTCAATCATGTCCCATCGATTTTCGGTGATTTCCTTCCATTTTTATATGTTTAATTCCAATTTTATGCTAGGCTAAATATTTTCACGTATTGGATGATGACAAAATTGTTTAATTTTTAGTTTTAATTCGAGACCTATGTTTTTATGTTAATTATTGCGTTGTGATTCCAATAATATGCATAATTAGATTGTTCTAATATTTGCGCACCATTAGGATAATAAGTTGCTTTTTCGTAGTGTTGAAAAACTCACGATAGGTAGAACACTATTATTGAGACACATGGGCAATAAATATTAGGAATAGTATTTGTGGCGTGTGCGATCTTATATGATAATCCTAATTGTCAATGCATGTTTGCCATATGAATTCGACTTAGGAATAAGATCGTCTCGTGGTAATCATATGTTTATTATATCTTGGGAAAGAATAATAAATAAATAAATAAACGGAATTATCGATCGTCGCAATTGCATAAATTGATAATTATTATTGGTTGAGAATTAGAAATAATAATTAATCAATGGCGTCGGAAATCCAATACGTTTACACATTTGAATTTTTAAACCAAATTTAATTATTTTCACAAGTTTTAGTTATAAAAATTATTTAGTTATTCCCTCGATCGTTTTTTCTGTTACAAATACGAATTAACTATATCAAATATATTAAAATTGATCCTTATTCCCTGTGGGACGATAACTCTCTCATCATGATTATTACTTGTACAACGAACCCGTACGCTTGCGGGAATTCGACGAACAATGACCTTACTTTCCAAAACTCAATCTTCAATTTTCTTGCACTTCAATGGTCCCAATCCCAATTACAATGGAAGATGATTATTATCCACAATCTTAATATCTTATTTTGTGAGTTTTATGCCACAATAGTGATTTTATGACTTTTCCAATTTTGATGTATTTTTACATACAAATTTCTACTTTCCTTCATCTTTTCCCATAACTTCAATTAGAAGGTTGCAAGGAGTTATTTGGGAATTGTAGGGAATTAAGGAAGTTATGAATTTGAATTCCATTCAAAACATTTTCTCCTGTCCACTTTTGAAATCTTGAGGGTCGAATCACCCCACATAAACGATCTATGACCCGTATTTTCCAACATTCTTCTTCGTAAAAAAAAAAAAACAGATTGTTTAGCCTAGTAAATTAACATGTATATTTAATATTCACCATTTTTTAGTATTAAGAAGAGCTTACTAGATCAAGCAGGACAAGTCAGATAACAAATATATACAACGCATATAATTACCACATTCAAGCACAGTTTGAATAATCTCATCGATGGTTTAATTGAGAGTCGCCAAATCAAAGTCACAAAGCATCGATATAAAGTTTTT